AGCAAGTACGATGGCGATGTCCGCCAGTCTTTCCTCGCAGAATTGCTGGAAACAGTGCGGCCGACGACGCAACGCAGCACTACGCTTGTATTGGGCGAGTTCAACGCCAAGTTACTCCAGCAACATCCCGGCGAAGAGCAATGCATTGGTCCACATCTCTTTCTTGCTGATTCTCTTCATAGTTCCGTGCATTTGACAAGCACATCAGACAGGCAACTTCTGCTCGAACATTGTGTCGCTACGGACATGGTTATTGCGAATGCGTTTTTTGACATTCCGGACGATCAGCGAGTTGCATGCAGAGATCTTGGCGTGGCCCCAATGGACGACGATATTTCGCCAGATAAGTTCGCTCAGATCGACCATGTGCTTTGTCATACCTCTATGCTTCCTTGGGTGAAGCTCTGCAGAACGCACCGGGGCGTTGCTCTGAACAGCCACCATTATTTGTTGACGGCGGAATTTGGCTTACAATTTTATGCTTCGGCGGCGCGTGCACGAACCTATGTCGACAAAACTTCGGTACGGGGCCCGGCCTTGCAGATCGATTTCACGAAGCGTTTTTACAGCAAGTGGCAATCTTTTAGCGTTGCAAGTTGTTCTCTTGACGAAGCTGCGGGGCAAATCGAAGATGCGTTTGGTGCTGCTGCAGATGCGTTGCCTCGCAGGGCTCAGCCGGCGACCTTGGATATCGCAGGCTATTTTTGGACCTCATCGAACAAAGGAACAATTTCAGGCGAATGGGCGACGCTCGCAACGGGAGCTCTCTCAACAAGGCGATCCGGAAGGCAGCGCGGGCTGACCGCGCAACTTGGATGGGCGATTCTCTGGTGGGGGGGAACTGGGGCGCAGTCAAACAGCTACGGAAGAAACCTCAGACAAAGCACGCTGGAGTCAGGGACATGAACAACAACTTGACCGATGCCGCGAGCCGCCCGGATGCTTTGGCCGACTACTTCGAGAAAGTGCAGTGGCAAGTTACTTTCCCAGAGGTGGTTCCTACAGCTACCCGCCCTCTTGGTACAGAGTTGTCCATAGACGTGCGTCAATTTACATTGAACGAACTGATTTTCGTGTTGAGAAAGATGAAGAACGGAAAAGCAGCTGGCCCTGATGACGTACCGCCAGATTTTTGGAAGGTTGTATCTACAGATGTACACGCTTGCCAAGCACTACTGCGCGTTTGTCAACGGTGTTGGCCCCAGAAAGACATGCCGGAAAAATGGCGCATGGCGAATGTCATCTTGCTTTACAAGAAAGGAGACGCAACTTCACCAAGCAACTATCGTCCGATCTCTCTGCTCTCGGTGGGATACATAGCCCTCGCGGCGATGTTGCGTCAGCGACTGCTTCAAGGAGGTGCAGAAGATCGATTGCGACGCTCGCAGTTTGGATTCCGGCCTCGCCGGGGCACCGCCGGCGCGCTCATGCTCGCGAGGCGCATGATCGACGCAACGTTGATGAATAATAACGGTGGTATTATTTTGCTTCTCCTTGATTGGGCCAAGGCGTTCGACCGATTGAAGCCAGAGTGTTTGCGCGCAGCTTTGACAAGATTTGGGCTACCGCAACCTTTCGTGCAAATGGTCAGAGGAATGTATTCGCGCAGGTATTTCACTATACTAGACCATTGTGGTAAATCTTCGCAACGACGCCAAGCTGCCGGTATTGCACAGAGATGCCCGTTGTCACCGTATTTATTTATTATTGTGCAGACGGTGATGCTTCAGGACGCTCTGTCGGACCTGCGCCTTCAACAAGATCCAGGCGATGTGGTCTCTAGGGATATTCTGTGCGCCGACGACACTGCGTTGGTATCTCAACGTGAAGGAAACCTACAGATCATGCTGGACGCAATTGTGGCAGAGGGGCGGAAGTACGGATTGCAATTGAATTGGGACAAGACTGTGCAATTTCAAATCGGTTCTGTTGGCTTTGTGAGAACGCCGGATGGGGATCCGATCAAGATTGTCAAGGAAGCTTTTTATTTGGGGGGCTCGTAACCCATGACGGACGCGTTGGTAATGAACTTTCGAGACGACTTGGAGAAGGCGGAGGTGTTTTTCAACAACTTACTAAATTGTGGACACGCTCCGCGGTTGGTTGGCGACGCAAGATACTCATATACAACAGCTGCGTGCTCAGCAAGCTGTTGCACTCGTTGGATTCGCTGTGGCTGCTCAAGCACGACAGAGACAGGCTCGACGCATTCCACTGCAAATGTTGGCGCCGCATTTTAACGATCCCACATTCTTACATCTCGCGCGTCAGTAACGTGAACGTACTGGAGAGAGCTGGATCACAACCGTTGTCCTCGGTCTTACGTGAGCGGCAAGTGCAACTCTACCGGGCAATTGCTTCTGAGACCGGCGGGTCGCTCGTGAGGCGCATTGTGTGCAATCGCAACGGCGCGCCCAAAAATTGGGCTGGCCGCAGACGCCGGGGGCGCCCCAGACAGCAATGGGCAGCCTCTGTGTATCGAAGCATAGCTGTCTTGTGACGTCACGCATGAATGCCGGACTTTTTAATGCGCCTACGCGTCTGTAAGGGATGCAAGGCCGCAGTCAGCAGTCAGGGCCGCTGTGTCCGCGTGACAGTGTCCGCCTCGCACGGCGGCAGCTGCGCTGCGCTGCGTGGTTGCCTCCCCCCACCCGTTGGGGCGCGTTGTGTCTTGCGGGCGGTGGCTCTGGAGGCCCGCGCAGCCTCGCAGGAAGTCCGGGGGCACGCCCTCGCGGGGGTCCCTGGCTCAAGGTGTCCCTAGGGCTTCTCGGGGGGCCCAGACGGGTGGCCTCCAGAGAACCCCCCCCGCCCACGAGGCACCGACAACCACCCTGGGGGACACCTCCGGTATGATCTTTCCAATCTGCAGCCCCAGAGCTCTCGACCCCTCCCCTGTAGGTTTTCGTCCCCGACTCATGTTTGGCACCCTTCCACCCCCCGGGTCAGCTACAGGCCCCCCTGGGCCCGCTACAGGGCTCGGATGGAAAATAGGTCAGCTCGCCTCGGGCGTGGAGTAGTGGGGGGGCGAGACCTGGGGGGGGCGAGGACAGGCGCACCCCTTGTGCCCCAAAGATGGAGGGGCCCCCTGGGGGGCAAGAGGGGCACAGAAGGTGCACGTCTCTTCGCTCCTCCACTGAGTATGGCCGAGGGTCAGAGAGCGCCTTCTTCTGCAGGACCCCCCAAAATGGACGTCAAGGTGGTCAAACGCCTCGCCGGTCAAGCCGACGAGTATGTGCAACATTCAACCGTTCGCTTCGCACCGTGTCCAAAGTTTTTTGGCTCGGCGCAGGGTGTTGTGCACCAGTTTCAGCTCGACCGAACAGGCTGGGTGCGCCCCTTGACGTCCGCTCGGGGTGTTCTGCAGACCTGACCCCCCGGGCCCCACCCAACCCCTCCACGTTGTCGCTCCCTCAGTGAGCAGCGCCCGCTCGCCGGAGGTCTGGGGGTGTCCTCTGGGTGGCGCGCGCGGGCGCCCGCCCCTTCGGCTCGCACCCCTCCCCCGCGGGAGTGAGGGCAGTGCGGCGGGCGAGCGCCGTGCCGCTCCTAGAGGGGAGGGGCCCTGAAGGGCGAGGGGTCCAGGAAGCCTCTCTCCGTCCCCCTTCCCTCCTCGGGGCCCCTGCTCCTCCTCCTCCACCTTCTCCTCCTCCTCTTTCTTCTGCTCGTCCTCCTCCTCCTCCTTCTCCTCCTCCTCCTCCTCCTCCTCCTCCTCTTCCTCTTCCTCTTCCTCTCTTTCCTCCTCCTGCTCCCGCTCCTGCCCCTCCTCCTCCTCCTCCTCCTCCTCCTCCTCCTCCTCCTCCTCCTCCCCCTCCTCTTCCGCCTCCTCCTCCTCCTCCTCCTCCTCGACGCAGCCCTGCGGACAAGTTACCTAGTCCTCCTCTCGCTCTTCCTCCTCTTCTTCTCCACCTCCTCCTCCTCTTGCTTCTGCCCCCTCCCCTCCTCTCAGGGAGAGGGAAAGGGGAAAGGGGAGAGGGGGAGGGGGAGCGGATCCAGACTCTCGTTTTTTTCCCCCAACCCTCCTGTGAGTTGGGTCCGCGTTTTGAGCCCGCAGTTTCGCGCGTCTCCTTTCCTCTCTTCCTCCTCAATTTTTTCGCCTCCTCCTCCTCGTCCTCCTCCTCTTTCTCCTCCTCCCCTTCCTTGCCTCCGCCCTCGGCATTTCTATGTCGGCACAGACCACCGAAGGCTCAGGTGGCTGCGTTCGCATGGCGGTCCTGGTCCATCTCGGCAGACCCCTCACACGTTTCGTGGCCCCGTGGGGAGCTCCACCAAAGGCCCCAGTGGCGCGTTCACATGCCGGCCCCGTGCCATTTCTGCAGATCCATCACACGTTTCGTGGCCGCATGGGGAGCTCCACCGAAGGCCCCTGTGGCTGCGTTCACATGGCGGCCCCGTGACATTTCGGTAAACTCTCGCATGTCTCGTGGCCCTATATGGAGCTCCACCGATGGCCCCAGTGGCCGCGTTCGCACAGCGGCTCCGCCTCATTTCGGCACACCACTCCCGCGTTTCGTGGCCCCTGAGGGAGCTCCACCGAAGGCCCCGATCCACTTCTGCACACCCCTCACACGTTCTGCGGCACCATCACCGAAAGCCCCACTGGCTGCTTTCGCATGGCGGTCCCGCCCCATTTCGGCAGACCCCTCACTCGTTTCGTGGCACCATCACCGAAGACCCCGTTGGCTGCGTTCGCATGGCGGCCCCGCCCCATTTCGGCTCACACGCCGCTGCACGGAAGCTCCGTGGGGCTCCCAGGAGGCTCCAGGGCGAGGCTCCTGCTGGAAGCACCCCCGGGAAGGCCCTGGGGGACCCCATGGCCCTGTGGGGCTGTACGTGGCCTGCGTTCCCAGCGCAAGGCCGCGAGCGGTGTCAGTCCACCAGGCGTGGTATGCCCTCGTGCCCCCTGGCGAGTCCACTCGTCGCCACGGCCACGACGGCCCCAGGGAACGATGCTGAGCGCACTGTGGCTGGGTCGATACATGTGTACTTTGAACCTTCGGGTCCAGCCTGCCACTCGGGCTCAAGTTCCTGCTGCCCAGGATCGGCCCTGCTCGCCTGCACCTCCCCGCCTCGCCGCTGCGCCGCCCCTCGCGGGCAGGGATGACGTCCTCCGCTGCCGGGTTGCCGCTGGCGTTCCACCCGAAGCGCCAGTCCTATTCGGGTGTAGGCGACGATGACGATCCCAGCACTGCGTGCTCGCAGTCGTCCGGCGCGCTGGCCGAGGAGCCTGAAGTGCAGCGGGTGATCTCCGAGGACGCCGACGTGCCGGCGAGGAGGGTGCTCTCCGCCCCCGACTCGATCTCGTCGGGGGCGGCCAGCCCGGCGACCGCGGCCGCGGTCCGGAGGCACCGGACCAAGAACCGCCTGGCGGAGCTGCTAGGCGCGGCGGCGGTCGTCCCCACCTCTTCCGCGACAGCCCCGGCCAGCTCGGGCGGCCGCATGTGCGGCGTCCTCAGCACGGAGCCGATCCCCTCCCAGGACTCAGCGAAGGAAAGGGGACCGATGGGGGACCGATGCCGCCACCCCTCCCTCGGTTTGGCACCGTTGGGCCCTCCTGGGTGGCCCTCGTCGCCACGGCTGGGTTCTCCTCGAGATGCTGCTCAGAGCTCACCCTAGGGGGACCACCTCCAGCGAGGAGGTGCACAATGCCTCCCCGAGCTAGGGATTCGGGATGTCTCGAGTGCGAGCGGGGGGTCCCCCCCCCCCCCTCGGGCTTCTCCCGCTCGTGGTCCCTGGTGGTGGTGGTGTCGCTTTCCCAGTCATGCGATGTGCTGATTTTTTCGATCCGCGGCCCACGGAAGTCCCGATCCCTTCCCTGGGACCCGCTCCTCCTCCCGAGTCGTCTTTTTGACGGCCGCGGGGCCCGGTGGGGGCTTCCCCAGAGGCCGACAGCGACGGAAACCTTGGTCCTGCTTTGTTCAGGAGGGACAAAAAACACACAGACACAATTAATGTCGATTCCCAGGAAAATGTGCAAAAATATGGGAAGTGGGGGGGAAAACGAAAATCCAAAAAATATGGAAAATTACGCTACCGAGGAACCCCACATACTTAATTTAAGTCTTATGTGTTTGCTCTTCATTATCATATATGCGCAATCCTGCGTTCTAAACCCTCGTCGCGAATGTTGCCCTATATTGTCATCCAACACGCTACTGAGTGAACCTCTTCCCTCCTCCCCGCTTTCTATCCTTCATCGGGAACAAGTTCGAGGTGGTCACCGAGGTCCGTTTCCTGGGATCGCAACAACCAATGAGGTGATGCAGAACGATTTGCCACAGCTCGAGCAGTCAGGGGGCCCACTGTGGAAGTTGGTGCAAATCACACTCCCTCGCCTCATGCTGCGTTCTCCCGCACCCCTGCCTCCCTTTCTGCCCTCGGTCGGTCTACTCTTTCTAGTCTCATGCAGTTTCCACGCGTCTGTCGCCGCGTCTCTTCGACGGAGAGTCACTAAGGTGCGCGCGCAAAAGACTTGCATAGCAAACGTGATGCGCCTGCGTGCGATATGTGAATGCCCTTCGATGGAAAATCTCTGGGCTGTGGTTGCCACGACAACCAAAGCCTGGGCGGACGCTCCGAAATCGTCCAGGAGCGGCACGGGCCGCGCGAATTCGACGCGGCTGGACAGCGCTGCCTTTGTCGGAAAGACTCTGGCGGCCGTGCGATCCGACGACCTCACGCCGCTGTGCCCTGGACGACCGTCACGCATAGAGGCCGCGCTGAGAGACCACCCCCTGCGCACTCCCTATGGTGTCGAGAATCTGCCATGCCTGCTGTGCCCTGGACGACCGTCACGGATAGCGGCCGCGGTGAGAGACCACCCCCTGCGCACCCCCTCTGGTGTCGAGAATTTGCCATGCCTGCTGTGCCCTGGACGACCGTCACGGATAGCGGCCGCGGTGAGAGACCACCCCCTGCGCATTCCTTATGGTGTCGAGAATATGCCATGGCTGCTGTGCCCTGGACGACCGTCACGGATAGCGGCCGCGGTGAGAGACCACCCCCTGCGCACCCCCTCTGGTGTCGAGAATATGCCATGCCTGGTGTGCCCTGGACGACCGGCACGGATAGCGGCCGCGGTGAGAGACCACCCCCTGCGCACCCCCTATGGTGTCGAGAATATGCCATGCCTGCTGTCCCTCTGGTGTCGAGAATATGTCATGCCTGCTGTGCCCTAGACGACCGTCACGGATAGCGGCCGCGGTGAGAGACCACCCCCTGCGCACCCCCATATGGTGTCGAGAGTATGCCATGCGCGCTGTGCCCTGGACGACCGTCACGGATAGCGGCCGCGGTGAGAAACCGCCCCTGCGCACTCCTTATGGTGTCGAGAATCTGCCATGCCTGCTGTGCCCTGGACGACCGTCACGGATAGCGGCCGCGGTGAGAGACCACCCCCTGCGCACCCCCGATGGTGTCGAGAATCTGCCATGCCTGCTGTGCCCTGGACGACCGTCGCGGATAACGGCCGCGGTGAGAGACCACCCCCTGCGCACCCCCTCTGGTGTCGAGAATTTGCCATGCCTGCTGTGCCCTGGACGACCGTCACGGATAGCGGCCGCGGTGAGAGACCACCACGTGCGCACCCCCTTATGGTGTCGAGAATATGCCATGGCTGCTGTGCCGTGGACGACCGTCACGGATAGCGGCCGCGGTGAGAGACCACCCCCTGCGCACCCCCTATGGTATCGAGAAAGTGCCACGCTTGCCACGCTCTCCGACCCTGGCACCCATAGAGGCCGCGCTGAGAGACCACCCCCTGCGCACCCCCTCTGGTGTCGAGAAAGTACCCCGTATGGTGTGCATGCGTCTTGAATGTATGATGCAGTGAACGCTCCACGCGTGTCTCACTCGCGTGCCTTGCGGCTGTATGTTGAGAAAGTGCAACGCCTGTTCTGCGCCATGGCCCGCATATAGCCTCCTGCCATGCATTGCGAATCCTACACGCACGTCTTTGATGGGGGGTGCCTCATGTGGGTGCCCAGTATTTTGTGCATGCGTGTTGAAGGTGTGATGCAGTGAACGCGCCACGCGTGTCTCACTCGTGTCTCATGTACGTGCCGTGGTTGTGTTGCGCGTGGGTGAATGGAGGAAGCAAGCGGAGGAGGGGAGGAGGGAGGAGGGGAGGTGTGTGTGTGTGTGTGTGTGTGAGGAGACGCGGGTGCGACGCGGCAGGGAAGAAAACCCCAACCCCACGAAACGTGTGGGGAAATATGGGAAATCCTGTTATCTGTGTGTATTTATTTGTGTGTCCCGGGGCCCCTTCATGTGTCTTCGACGCGAGCATGTCTGGGCCTGCTTGCCCCCCTGGTCTGTAGCCCCCCCCCCCAAGGACATGGCGAAGGTGCCCGCGCGGAAGGCCCTCTCGGGGCCCGCGCCGTCCGACCCGGCGGCCGCCCGGAGCTTCCGCGCGAAGGGCCGCGTCGCCCGCCTGCTCGAGCAGGACGCAGAGGGCCCCAGGCACGCCCGGTGGCAACTCCTGGGAGCCCTGTGCACCCTTGTGATTGCTCAGAGGAGGAAGAGATGCCCATGCCGCTACCCTTCCCTCGTTTTCCCCCCTTCTTGGGCCTCCTGGGATGCCCTCGTCGCCACCGCTGGGTTTGCCTCGAGTTTTTTGGTCAGAACGCACCGGGGGAGAGGTCCAAGGAGCAGCGGTATCGGTACCTCTTGGTTTCTCCAATTTCTAGACGCTTCGCGTGACCCAACCAGCCCATCCAAAAGCGAGTTGCCCAGGCGAGTTGCCCAGGAGAGTTGTCTTGGTCGGCGAGCCAATTCAGTAGCAGATCTTGGGAGCCCTGTGTTCTGGCCGTCCTAGATGGCACCCGACTAGATGGGGTCGGAGGATCGCGCCGCATCGCCGATGCATCGGCGGTGCGGCTCGATGCGGAGCCCACTTTGCTTCACGTCGACGTCGCCGATGCACCGCCGACGTCGCCGATGCATCGTCGATGCATCGGCAATGTGTCGCTCGGCGATGCGGCGCGATCCTCCGACCCCATCCACTCGAGCCCCATCTTGGAGGCCTCTATGTGTACCCTCGTAAATTCTAGACGCTTCGCGTGACCCCACAAGTGTCCTGTTTCATCGTTGCTGCCCCGTCCAGTCACTGGTTTCGGATACGATGACGACACAACGGCCCCCCCCCGGGCAGCAGTGCGGTCCGCGGAGTGAGTGCTCTGTTGGTACTTGCCGTCCCCCGGCTCTCTCTGTGGTCAGTTTCAGCCCTGACTACACCCCAGCGCTTATGAGCTGGCCGCGGCTGCAGCGTACCTCGGCGACCTTCGGCCGTTACCCGCTTGGCGGCAGTACTGGCGCTTGGGCCTGCGTGTTCTCTTCCATCGTTGCTTCCTGGCCTGTGACTGGTTTCGGAGACGATGGCTGACGCACCGGCCCCACCACGGGCAGCGGTGTGGATCGTGGAGTGAGAGCTCTGTAGGTCCCTGCCTTTCCTCTGCCCCTGTCCCAGCCGGCCCCGCGTACGGCGGTGGTACGGACCTCGCGCTGAGTGGTTCAGCCTTCAGCGTGTCGCTTCGGTTCTACCTGTCCTCTTCGGCTAGGTTGGCTGCGCGGGTTGGCGCCGACAGGGCGATTTCCCGTTGCATACCACTGCGGTCTGCTTCACGTCGGTGTGGCTGGCGCCTAGGTGCGTTCGCACTAATGCGGAGCATTTTGCTCAGTGCATGTGCACACTTCGCATTCTTGATTTTTTACTGCAGGTGCGTTGCCTGTTGTAGCTAATTCGCCTCGCCTGCTGGCCCAGACGACGCCTACTACCGCCCCCTGTCCGCTGCCTCGGAGCCGCCGACCAAATTAGCCTGGCAAAGGACCCAACCATATGCAGTTGTGAATACCGCAATTGTGAATACCATCTTCGCCCGCGCTCCCTATGTGGTCACGGCTTCCCGCCGGAGCCCGACATGCTCAGCTACACGTTCGTGGCCGTCTTCGCGGGCGCCGACGACGACAAGGACGGCGCCCCTCTGACCGAGGAGCAGAAGCAGGAGAGGGCCTTGAGAGCCATGAGGGAGGAGGTGGCGTTGCACGTCGACAAGGCGGAGTACGACGCCCAGGCGCGGTTGTTGAAGCAGCACAACTATGGGGCCACGATCCTCGTGAAGGGTGTGCCGAAATGGCCCGGGGCCGCCATGCGAACCCTGCCACTGGCGCCTTCCATGGAGCTCCAGTGGGGCCACGGTCCTCGTGAGGGGTGTGCCGAAATGGCCCGAGGCCGCCATGCGAACCCTGCCACTGGGGCCTTCGGTGGAGCTCCCTATGGGGCCACGATCCTCGTGAGGTGTGTGCCGAAATGGCCCGAGGCCGCCATGCGAACCCTGCCACTGGCGCCTTCGGTGGAGCTCCCTATGGGGCCACGATCCTCGTGAGGGGTGTGCCGAAATGGCCCGAGGCCGCCATGCGAACCCTGCCACTGGGGCCTTCGGTGGAGCTCCCTATGGGGGCCACGATCCTCGT